GTTTATTTAATATATTTAATATATTTAATAATATTATTTATTTAATATATTATTATTTTAAATATTATTACATGTTTTCAAAAATTAAACCACCAAACGCAGTTTCAGTTTTTTTTTTTAAATTAAAATCAATCTCTGGATAAAACTACCAAACATATTTAGAGAAATAATTCCAAAATGAAAATGAAAACGTTTTCATTTCCATTTTTATACAGAAAACAAACTCATTTTGGAACCAATTCCAAACGCACCCTATATTATATAAGGGTGGCAATTCGTATCACGTATTGTGTTCGTGTAGTGTTTTGATCGTTTCTTTCTAAATTTACAATTAACCCACACACGATCTGTGATACAAAATTTTTTAAAAACCGCAATACGAACACGACACGACCACTTTATTGGTTGACACGACACGAACGTGACACGAAATTGACATGTGAACCCAAAATTGACACGAAAATTGTATATTTTTATTTAGTTTTTTACATATTAGAAATAACTTAAAATTCATAACACGCTAAAATACAATAACATTTATTGAAATTAAACAAATAATAGTATAAGATTTTGAGTATAACTATCATGACATCACAAGTTCATAATAAAATAAAAAATATGTAATGAAAAATATATTTATTTTTTAGTTTTTTATGAGTTTCGTGTCGTGTTCAGGTTAGGCAGATCCAACCCAAAATTGACCCGTATTTTTCGTATCAATTTCAAGTCGACCCAATTCTGACCTGACTTTTTTTTTAACCATAACCTACAAAATTCGTGTTGTTTTCGAATCGTATTATTATATCGTGACCCATATTACCAACCCTAATATTATAAACATTCATAGAATACTCCAATTCAACGATGTTATTGATGTTAAGAGGGGGAAAAAAAAGAAGCTTGAGAGCACCATTGATACTGAGCAGTACTACTAAATAAAAAGTGGGCTCTACTTACAAATCTCGTACTATAAGACCTACCATTTATTAATAAGTTGTGTTGTACCTTGTAATATTGTTCGTTCTTCCCTCACAGTATTTAACTAAATAGATCCAAATCTCAAAATGGTCTACTATTTAAAATTAAAAAATAAAAAAATTTGAAGTTAAACACACCCTATGCATGCAGAGCCAAAAAATATTAATAATAAAAAAAAGACACCCTATGCATGCTCCCAGCTTTTCTTTTTGCCATTTCGTTTATCTGACGAGTGAGAGAGAATGCAACAGACAAGTGAGAGAGAATGAGGCAGCATACAGCATTGGACCCACTTATTGCTCAGAACATTCAAATGCAGGCATTCTGTGCTTAATTATGGCCTGCTTGCATCAAGGAATCATTTTCAAATATATTTTTCACATTTTTCAAGAATTAAAAAATGAAAGCGCACTCACAAATGCGTTTGACACCGCATTTTCTGAAAAATAAAAAACTGAAAACGTTTTTTTTTTATTCTCAAAAAGTAGCAAAATTGAAAACGATTAAGTATTGTTTTCAGTTTCTCATTTTCATTTTCTTTGCCCAACTGGACCACTCTTCTTTGACGCGTCTGGACGACGACTTCTTCTTTGGTGACGACGACGACGATCACAGCCGAAAAAACACACCAATTTTATTCCTCCGAAACCCATTTCTTCATGTATATAAGGTTTATTTAATTTATTTATTTAATATATTTAATATTATTATTTTAAATATTATTACATGATTTTAAAAATTAAATCACTAAACACAATTTTAGTTTTTTTTAAACTAAAAATAATCTCAGAATAAAACTACCAAACACATTTTCAGAAATGATTCCAAAATGAAAATTAAAACGTTTTCGTTTTCATTTTCATACAGAAAATAAAATCATTTTAGAACGAATTCTAAACGCACCTTGAGACACTCATCAACAATCATCAACGAAAATCTTTGGCCGCAACAATAAAAGTTGACGGCTAAACAAACAAAAATACATGCATTTATATTTCATGTATATTTCATGCTTCGAAGAGAATATTACCTAGATCACTTTTGACCCGTTCGGTTCGCTAATTCAAGTTTTTAATTCGAGTTGAGATGTAATGTTGTGTGAAAGCTTTTTACTGTAACAAAAAAATTAAATGTGACTGTTTCTGAGAGCCTTTTCTTGTAGCAAAACTCAAATCAACGGAAAAAAATGGGACCTTTATTCCTTGGATTGTGTTCAAGTCTTTTAAATAGCACGACTGTTTCAAGAAACTGTATAACAACTCAAAAGAAGCTAACAAAGCACCCAAGCTAGCTAAATCATTATTATTTTTGCGTGCGGTAACGCCGAGTATCTAAAACTAACAAGGATTTGATGGGCACAAAAATTTGATATATTGGTTTTATCACCTACCCTTATGAGAAAAAAGTTGACTTCTCTCTAGTACAGATTCTACATGTGCCATCGTAGGCAAGAAGAAATCTTTACCGATGTACGAGAACCCCAAAATTTGCTCTGACTTAATTCTGTCCTGTAAATGAAATCATGCCGCAACCAATGAACTGCTGAGAACTTAGTCCTCACAAGAGAATAGCATAAACCCCGAGTATAAATCACATTAATAATTTGCTGATAAACAGTGTGCTTATGCAGCTCTGTCAAGTGCTCCCCATTTTCTGATTAGACATGGGTCAACTTTTTCGCTGATTAACTTGGATTACCAATACCATCTTGAAAGTGCCATCCTCTTTGTTGGCCCTTCTAGCTGAATATCAGTCGTCTTCGGAAGGTTTCTTATCTCTAGTGGTCGGGGTAGTATACGCTCCTACTTCCTGAAATTCAAATTCACATGGTATATCAACCTACTACGATTCAAACTTCAGAAATATGATAAAGAAAGAAAAGGCAAGGAGAAAAGAGGACACAATTAAGAGTGTGTAACAGCATGTGTGTGTGTAAATATACATCTCTATGTAAGCTCGCAGTTATACCTTTCTCAAACGTTCGTACGACTGCTCCTCTTCCCTGACATCAACCTCTAAACTAGTGGAGACTTCGTTGTCCAATGTCGATGTTGTGTTCTCACTTTCCTTCAAGTCCACTCTAGGCATATTTCCATTCACAGCAACTTCACTACTGGAGGAATTGTGAATGCTATTCTCAGAATGGTTTGTGTCATTCTTTTCAACATTTAAATCCAATCCACCCTCATTTTCTCGCTCATTTCTCTCATTCGGTATTTGAGATGCCTTCGCTGCTGCCTCCTCAGCTTTCCTCTTTTCTTCTTCTCTTTGTCGTCTTCTCCTTGCTTCTTCCTCCTTTATTTGTTTAAACCTGGAATGTATTAACAGATTAAGAAAGTCAGAGCTACACCGTAAAAGAAAGAAAAAGAGGAACAATATGAATGAATGTTTAACCTTTCACCAGGTCGTAGACCCTCTGCTATCAATTTTTCCCCTTGCCTGGTGTCCTTTTGGGTGTTAGTCAAGTCTGGGATGGACTTTTCCACTCGGGGTTGTTCTTCCTTGATGACATCAGTACTGAATTGTTTAACCTGAATTTTAGCACCCCCTAACTTTTGAAGCCATACTTGTTGCGCTGTGCTTAGTATATTATTCGTTAACCTGCATCAGCATTTTTGGATGATGTAAACTTATATAAGCAGTTCCAAAAGTCAGCTAGTAATGAACATATGGATACTTTAATTCATAAAAAAAAAAAAAAAAAAAAAAAAAAAAAAAAAAAAAAAAAGCTCATAAAAGAATTGCTATAATGCTCGTTAGATTAGAAGGGCTTTACACCACTCACCAATAAAGGCTCAGACCAGAAGGAACTGAAAGAGCAAAATAACCAATCATTAAAGGCAGGAACTTTGTAACCGCTTGAGAACTCTTCATGTTTGGATCATTACTCTGGAAGTTATAGCACATGTTAGTTAATGATTGAAAAACAAAATGTAAGGCTACCTAGGAGGCAGAATTAAATACACACACACACACACACACATATCAAGGTTGAGAGCTTAACATGCTTGAAAAGTGCTTCTTCAAGTTAAAACATGATAGTATAGGTAGTTAAGTTCATTTAAGAAGGCTAATTTGTACCTAGAAAATTACTAACCTGTGCTGACTGCATAATTTGGACAGATATGTACTGTGAGATAACCAGCAACACAGGCAAGACAAGATATGCCAAGGTATCTGACCATCCAAGCGGTGGATGACCATCCTGAAATATAAATGAGACCATAAGCGATTATATATTTTCAGCCAACTCCTAAAGAAAATAATAGTTCATCAAAGAAGAAAAGCCAATTCAGGCAAACAGCAACACAGAGTTGAACGGTGCAGAGAAGTATAAAGAAAGGTAAAGAATGATTATTGATCGAAAAACAAGTTAAACTTCTAGTTCGCCAACCATTGGGAGCAGTTAAACATTCACAACTGCTTTGTAAATATCTAAGTTAGATGAAACGGAATCTCATTGATATATGGATTGTATTGATCTTTACCAGTGACTCTGGGCAGAATTCATTGCCAAATTACATTACAAAGCTATAAGTAGGACTTCAGATTAAAGAAGCAGAAATATTCACGACGAAAGTTCCAGCTTAAAAACGAACTTTAGTTCTATCAATCCAAATAGCAACCCCTATAGAAAACAAATTTTGCAAAATCCGGGCAATTTTCATGAAAATAGGAGTTTCAGCTTTTAAGTAAAGACACTTACTACAAATGGGAAAAGCCAAGAGATCCCACTGCCACTTTGTCTAGCAGCAATTGTTGTCGGACCAGACAAGGAGGGTATCCAGAAAAATCCTTCTGTAAGGAGTCCCTTATATCAGGCAAACAAACTTTAGTTAGATTTCATAAAGAATATTAGTAAAGAGACATATTGTAACCAGTAGCAAATCAACACGAGCAGCTACCTCGTCTGCCACATTCGAAAGAGCTCTATATAAGCCAATCCAGACTGGTATTGTAGCAAGTGTTGGCAGGCATCCTGGCACAAACAAAGGATAGAAAAATATAATCAAAGTCAAATACAATGGGAAACAAAAAATCGAAGAACAACAGAAAATTATATGACATCTACGAATTAGCCTTGCAGGTGAGCCTGAAAGTCGAACTATAATTCTATAACTGTAATTCTTCCCACTGGATGTGAGAAAAATAAGAATGAGTACAATTGAAAGTTTTTCTTCATTTCTTTTACTACAAAGTACTAATACTAAAACGTACTAATACTAAACTCACAATGTAAAACAAATACCTGCCAGCGGATTTATGCTCGCTAATTTATACAATCGAGCAGTTTCAAGTTGAATTCTCTCCTGCAAGTTAACAAGAAGCATAAATATTGGTAAGTAAAACAGAAAAAGGGAACCAGTTAAATGATTCCTGCAAATCTTCCCCAAATTAATACAACGTACAGTTTATGTCTCATCTTCAGCTTATAGGTTCAAAAGCCAGAAAACCATCATAAAGCAAACACCTTTACTCACCAACTTCATGCATAAACTTATACAGACGACAACGCAAAGAATAAAAACGACAACAAACGAAGAAATGTAATGAAAAAGGCAAATTTCACCTGATCTCCAGCAAAACGCTGCTGAATAGCCTTCACTTGAGGTTGCAAAGACCTCATAGCCATGGCGGATTCGACCTGTCCATACCAAATTCCGAAATTAAAGTTCCAAACTTTGCAAACAAAAGATTACAAAAAACACACCAAACATCACTAAAAGTTACAAACCTGCTTCTTCGTCAAAGGGTAAGTCGCAGCTTTGACAAGAACAGTCAGCATAATTATCGCGAAGCCGTAAGCGTACGGAACATGTAAAGCACTAAGCCCATCCTTCAGAACCTGTTTAAAATCTTCTCTTCTCAATAAACGAAATCCAATCAAAAACATCAAAAATCCCAAATTCGATTGAATTCTTCTTACCTTGAGAACGCTCTCCATGTAATTGGCGATTCCAGAAAGCCAATCGTCGCTCTGCTTGGCGGTGGTGACGGAATCCGACGTCGACGAAACGGCCGCGTCGGCGAGCGTGTAGAGGAACCCCTCGGCTCGACCGAGCAGCCCCCGGCCGACGCTCTCGGCGGCTTTCGGGGCGGGGTTTGAAACCGGGGGGGAGCCACGGAGAGCGAGCCGCGGAGGCATGGCTTGGGAATGGAGTGCGAGAAGCCCAAGAAATGGGTCTGACGGAGAAGTAGTGGGTTTTGGGTTCGGTCAGAGAACGGAGACAAGACCAGGCTTGGTCGATTCGGCAATAAAGTAGTCATTTTTAATGGTGTGCTGTACGGAAACGAGAACTGAGAGAAACTTGGGATTTGCAGAAAAGCTTTGTTTTACTTGTCCGCCATTTTTGTGAGCTCCTTTTGTTTCTCTGATAGTAAGAACTCCTTAATGGAAGTGACGATGGATTGGGTTTTCCGCTTCGTGGGTTATTAAACAAATTTAGAAAAAAGGAAAAAAAAAATTAAATCCCATTTATTTCATCAATAAATTTAAAATTTAAATTTTATTATAATAAAAAATTTTAAAAAACAGTTAATTAAATTATTTTATTACAATAAAATTTTTTTACGTAAAATCACATTTTAATTTAGATTAAAAATTTAAATTAATAAATTAAACGGTCTTAAAAATATCTAAAAATAATTTTTTTTTTTTTTCAAAGATATAAATTATTTTGAATTGTCAAACAGAGGACGTAGATAGAAAGTCCTCTAAAATCAGATGAAAGAAAAGAGAAAATGGAAAGTCTTTTTTTCATTTTGGGCAGTGAAGCAGGTAGTATTGGGCTTTAGTGTGCCTATTAGGCTTGGGTCGATATCATATGGGCTTCTGTACAGTAAGTGATAGCAGTTGGGCTTTCTAAGAAGCCCAAGTTAGATGCCAGCTATTGAAGTACTCGGACTCCTTTTTCGGCTAAAAATGAAGCACTTTTCTTTTCTTTTCTTTTTTTTCCCTCTTTTATTTGAATGCTTTATTAACAAAGAAAAATAGTTACCTTCAAAAAAAAAAAAAAAAACCAAGAAAAATAGTTAGTCGTATATACTTTGCAGGCTTTGCTTTCAGCCTCTTCAGACAGCAAAAATTGGGAACTGCCCTTTGCCAAGTCAATTGAAAATCAATTTTCGTGAAGTACAAAAAAAAAAAAAAGAAAAAAAATGAAAAATGAACTGCATATGTAACGCTGCCAATTTTACAGTGTTTACTTGGAAGGAGAGATGGAGGGAGAGAGAGAGAGGGGTGGAAGGAGAGAGGCGGATGCAATCTTTTGTTTGGTTGGAAGGGAAGAAAGGAGAGAGAGAAGAGATTAAGGGACATGCTTTCCTTCTTAATCCACTAAATTGCATCTTTCTATTAATGCAATAATTCATGCAATCACCAACTTTTACTTTTAAAAGACTATTTTACTTTTTAAAAAATTTATTAACAAATTACACAATTAGACAATATAATAATTAATTAAATAACTATCATTTGCCCCCACTGAAATATCAGAAATTTTTTTTGCCTTTATAAGTTCCTAAAATCATGCTCTAAATAAACTTTTGTGCCCCCACTATCATTTTATTTTTTTGTAGTGTTTTTGGGTTTATGTAATTCACCACGTTGAAAAAAAAAACAATTAAATTCCTTTTTTATCCTTCATATATTGCATTTTCATTCATACAGTATAAATATATCTTTTTATAATTTTTTTTTTTTTTTTGGCTTACATCATTATATCACTCGGTCTCTCTCTTTTTTCCCTCTTTCTATTTTGTGGTTGAATTTTCTCTCTCCACATATTTTACTATTATAATTATTTATAATCTCATGGTAGAGTACTCCTATTTTAACATTGATTCTCTTTTTCTGTTTTCTACTTTTTTCATTATATAATTATAATCGTTTTTATTGCTTTGCTGATATTGTGATGTAATTTATAACATGAAGACTTTTTTTTTTTTTTTTGGCTCTTGAACAAGAAGACTTTGGATTAAAACTTAGGTGGTTGTTCTTCATATGTATTAGCTTCTCCAAGTTCTCTTGTGCCTCTACTGACTTTGAACTCTGGTTACGTCCCCGTAAATAATTACTATAATCCTCTCGTCCTTCATGCTCATTATCCCTTCAACTCTCTCAATCCTTTCTACTCTTAATCTCTCTTACCAAACAAAGCCTTAGAATTTAGTCAGTTTTATAATAATTTTAGAGTTTTACACTGAACGAATTAAAAAAAAAAATCAAGTGCTTAAGTTCATAGAGTTATATTCTTTAGAGAGGTTATCCAATCCAACGACTTGTCGGAGATTGACATCTTTTCATTAGAGATTATGATCATTCATCAATATTAGATGACCACAACAATTTTATTAAACTCTTTTTAATCCTCAAAGTATAAGTCAAATCTCAATTTGTTTTCTTAATTTAAAGTGTCTTATAATTAAAACGAATTTTTATTTACTAAAATTGTTTTAAATGAGTTATTTTGTCTATCTAAATGTTAAAATCTTATAGGAACAAGATACACATTCCGTGTTAAAATTGTGTCCAACGTACGCTGTGTTTGTCTCCATCACATGCCCTTTTTTTTTTTTTTTTTGAGAGTTTAACGATTAGATGCACAAAATGATTAATTAAATACAATTTGAAAGTCCAAAAAATAACAAATTGAAAGATTAAAGATTTGTTCTAGCATGTTTAAATAACCAGAACTAAAATGAAATTGAACCTATAATTCAGGATTAAAAATGAGATTAACTCGTACTTTTATATATAGGTTCCCTTCGTTTCGCTAGTTTGAATTATAACTTAAGTTTTTTCTACAGTGTTTTCTCTAATAAAAATTTAAATTCAACTTTTTTTTTACAGTGTCTTCTCACACATAAATTCACTTTTTAACTCAAATAAAACGAACGGGGCCATAATTATCACACTCTTGCGTATTCAGTTAGGGCTAGCACGAGGGATTTCCAACAGTCAACGTCCACAAGTGCCTACATTAATAATCAAATGTACGTAACCTGGACTTATAATAATCAAATGTACATAACCATAAAACCCAATCAAATTCACAAAGCTAAGGTTAACCAAACTCTAAAACCAAACCATTGAATTAAAAAAAAAAAACAAACGCAAAGGAAGTGATAAGAAACTGTTGTGGGGTACCAAATATGAGGTCCATGTCTCACCTATCAAACTCTTTGGATAAGAAAAGAATCCACACTCCACAATTCTATTGGACATCTTTCCCTCTCGTGGCTTCCACATCTATATTCCACATAATTTCCCTTTTTTCATATCAAACCATTTTTCAAATCCCAAAGTGAAAGAAAGGAAAATCAACTAGGAAGAAAAACCAAAACCCTAACTTTTGTGCTTATCAATGGCAGCAACAATGGCTACCACGATGGCAATGTTGAATGCCAAGTGCATAGCCACAAACACACCCAAGAATATCAAGCCTGTAATTAGCACCTCAAAATTGCCCTCTTCACTTTTGTCCCTCCAAAACCTCCCAAAGGGTCTAACTTCCTCCCCTTCCTTGGCCGGAGCCGCCCTCGCCGGAGCAGTATTCTCCACCCTAAGCGCCTGCGACCCCGCCATGGCGGCGCAGCAGATCGCGGAGATCGCCGCTGAGAGCAGCAGCGGGGATAACCGCGGCCTGGCGCTGCTCCTGCCGATCATCCCTGCCATCGCGTGGGTGCTCTTCAACATCCTCCAGCCGGCGCTGAACCAGATCAGCCGCATGAGGGAGACAAAGGGTGTCATCGCCGGGCTCGGCATAGGCGGCGGGCTGGCAGCCTTAGGGCTGGCGTCGGCGCCCGAGGCATCGGCCGGGGAGATCGCGGCGATCGCGGAGGCGGCGGGTGGTGACAGCAGGGGGCAGCTGCTGCTGATAGTGATCACGCCGGCGGTGCTGTGGGTGGTCTACAACATCCTACAACCGGCTCTCAACCAGCTCAACAGGATGAGGTCGGAGTGATGAGAGAAAAAGTATATATGAGTTGGTTTTTGTTGCCATGGGAGTAAAACTTAATCTTGTAATTCAACCTTATGATCATCATGTTAATGGGAAAATCTTGTTTCATATATATTAGTTTTTTTGTTTTGTTTTGTTATGTTATTATTGTGTTTGTTTTTTTTTTTCTTTTTAATTTTCTGGTGTGCCTATAAGTACGCCTCGATGTGTATTAAACTATGTTAAAAACGCAGTTCCTCACAAAGTATAAATATCTGGTTTTGTCAATTTCATATGCACTGAATTTGTCAGATTTAAGCGTGTATATAAATGTTGCCTGGAAGAGTCGACCAAAAAAAGATAACTTGTACCTTCAAAAAAAAAAAAATAATAACTTGTGATTTTTTTTTTTTTTTTAGAATGGATCTTGGATTACAATATAAAGAGATGTGTTTGTGTTTGATAGATGTGGATAACAGTGTTCTAGCATGCATATGCAAGGGTATTGGAATTCTTTTTGGTGGCTTTAATCAGCTATTAGTATTAAATTTCTGTAATTCAGATGTCGTTTGGGTGGCATTCATTATGAAAACGTGTCGTTTTCTGATGAGGCGAGGAATCTACAACATTCGTAAAAAGTATTTTTATGAAATCAAAACGACATGTAGTTTATATGGAAACGACATGGAACTTAAACGGTTTGTTGCTTTTCTGTTCATGGGAAACGACGTGTCTGCATATTGCGAACTACGACAGGTCGGCAATTAAACAGTCCCAAGAATATGAATAGAAATAGAATATGATGAAATATTCATGCAGTTTTAAACGACAAGAATAGAAAACGACAAGAAACTTAAACAATACGATGTTTTCTGATTATGGGGAGACGACATCTATGAATATTAGGAAATACAGCGCGTCGTTAATTTAAAAAGAAAACTATATTGCAAAATGAGTCAATGACATGTCGCTTTCCGTCAAGAATGATCAACATCAATTTGTAACAGGTAAACTTTAGAGTATTGAAACGACCAAGAAAAAGGACTAGTTTGATTCTTAAAACAAAAGCATGGAGCATAAACCCAATATATATATATATATATATATATCGTTTTTCCATTTATCAGATACGACATGTATAAAAACTCTGTAAAGAACCATGCCGTCTCCTGTTCAGGGGGAACGATATGTCGTTTGTTTTTGGACAAGCGCCATGGAGCAAACACATCGTTTGTTGGGCGAGATAAAATAGATTCACGTGAATGACATGTTTTATTTTATTTTATTTATGTATTTATTTATTTGTTTATTATTATTATTATTTTGCTGGAAACGTGAATGACATGTAGTATGACAGCAAACATAACGGTATATATGTTAGTCATATCGTGTTCTTTATCTTTTGGAGAAAATAATATACGTCTTTGTACTTTGGATAAGAAACGACATGTCATGATTTATTTTTGGGACTTGCTTTTCACTTAAAACAAAACACGATGTGTTTGAACAACATTTCTTTGCATTAAGAAATAATGCAACGGATATAATATATTAATAAGCAAGAAGAAAGGTAGAGAATGATGGCATACAACAACTAGAAATAATAGTAGCAAGAAATTTTCCATGACAGGAGGGACTAGAACAACACAAATGTGAAATTAGCACAACACACATTAAGAGTTCAACTTAATCTAAAAGGTTAACATGTTGGGTCTTAAATCATTCTATGTAAATAAATTATTTCACATTCCCATCTATTTTTCATATGTGACAACATACATACTCTTTTCTCAACAATCTCCCTTTCACGTGTGTGTTTATCGAGCCCCTCTTCAAACCAAAGTTTCTAATAGCCAGCACATCCAAGTATCATGCTCTAAATGGAAGCCAATTTGAGCATGAAAAATCATGTGAGTCCACCAAATGCTCCACCATATGCACCTGTAACGATATCAACTGCGGGCAACACCAACTCTCCATGAGAAGCAACTTGAGAATTACAATCGAGTGTGATCTTTTGGCTCATACAGACCATTGGTTCTGATGCCACTTATTGAGAAAGCATCACATGTGAAATTGATCCAACATACTTTAAAAGCTCAATTTACCCCAAAAAGTCAACATATTGGGTCTTAAATCATTTCATGCATATAAAACATCTCACATTCCTATCCATTTTCATGTGAGACAACACATAAATACACCCTTCTCAATAGCTACTTGCCTATAGAACCTAAAACAACATTCGATGCATATGTATGTATGTATCACATACTTCATTTGTACAGTACTAGTGCTTATTTATGTGCATTTTTAGGAGATAATTAATTTCCAAATAACAAGGCGTTGAGCTACCAAAAGGGAAGTAAAGCCGCTTCAAGACTTGATCGTCAGCCCGAAGCTTTGAATGCTCCAACAGAAATTATATAAGCCAGCTTAATTTACGGTATATGGAGGTTACTACTTCCTACCAAACCTACCTCTTAGGTGACTTTAAAAAAAAAAAAAAAAAAAGTCAAAAAGATGTCACAAAGAAATTATCTCAATATGTGCATTAAAAACATGCATTACACACATTACATGTATATAGCTTCGAGATGCCGTTTAATTTGCTGATTTAAATTTTTAATTTGAGTTGATATGTGATTTTTTGTGAGAGCTTTTTACTGTAGTAAAAAAATTAAATATGACTGTTTGTGAGAACTTTTTATTATAACAAAACTCAAATTTTAAACTCAAATTAATAAAATGAACGTGACAGACCAATCTAAGTGGGGAAAAGTACTATTTAGCTCTCTACATTCCAGCTAGCAATTTGATGGCACACGGACTTGTTGTTGTCAGTTGGTAGATACATCATATGTCACTTATACCTTTTAAGCATTCACGGAATTTGCTAAGCGAAATAATTGTGAATATACGCACACGTACATACACATACATATTCATATATAAACTGTTGTTATCGTAACTTATAACATGTAGAAGTAAAAAATGTAATATGAAAATTACAATAAATAACATTAAGCTTGAAGAGATGTAACATAATCAACGCTTGTTTAATGACTATTATATGTATTTAATATTCTTTCTGCTTTTCCTCTTTATGGTGTGAAGTATCTTATTTGTCATTTTATTTATTTTGGTTCTAATTCTGCCCCACAAAGGTTCTCTAGGTCGTTTTCATACAGCGAAGTCGGCTGAAATGTTAAAGCAACCAGATATCAATTGGCTTCTTTTTCATTTTTGGTCCATTATATTTATAATTATAATTTCTGTTTTTGGTCCACTCGTAAACAGGTTTTGAGTTTTCTTTTATCCCAAAGGATAGGGAAGGGATCTAGATTGAGTTTGACTTTGTAGTTTTCTTTTTCAATTTTTGTTTTCTAATTTATATCAGAGCTTTAGAGGATAGCTTTTTCTCTCACCAACCTCTTTACTTAAACTTTGCTTATTTGAAAAAAAAAAAAAAAAAAACACTTTACTTTTTTTCTTTATTTTTCTTTCTAGAAGGTGCAATGAAGTGGTCATAGCTATATATATATATATATATATGGGTTAATTAACAGCCAAATGTTTTCATTTTAAAATATTGACTTATTGCTTTGTGGATTTATCTCTTGTTAGTGGTTAAGACGTGACATTTTGATTAATTAGCAGCTATGTTTCAAGGTGTCCAACGCAACATCTATTTTACTCTTGTTATGATAATATTAATTAGAGAGAAAGAGGAAAATAGGTCAAGACTTGAGATGAATTAAAATTAATAGGCCAATAGTTTACATAAGTTAATAAATAAGCCAAATTACTGTGTTCGTCCATAACTTGTCTGGTTATGAACCATAACTTGTCTGGTTATAAACCATAACTTGACAAGTTATTGTCCATAACTTGTCTGGTTATGAACCATAACTTGACAAATTTATTCATAACTTATCTGGTTATAAACCATAACTTGATAAGTTATGGTCTATTAATTTCTATAACTAAAAAATGACCTATATATTTTTTTAAACTTTTCATATGGACCTATTTTCTATTATTTATCTATTAATTAACTGGAATAACTCTATACACAATATTAAGTTAAAGTGAAGAGAGAGAGAGAGAGGAGAATATAGTGAACGTCATCCAACTAAAAAAGCCCTTTGATACCAATAGTATTGTCCACAATAATGCATCATTAAAGTTATTGCACATTTATTCATCCTTATCTGGTACGTACATATAACGATTTGGATACGCAATGTGAATATGTCTTTTTTTGTTCATTTATTTCCATTTTTAATTTAAGATTTTTTTTAGTACGCTAATATACTAATAAGTTAAATTATTTTATTCGTTAAATTTACATAAAATCACGTAAAAATTAAAAAATACATAAATTTAAAAGTTAAAAAAACTTAATCAACCCGTATCTCAAACTTACGAGAGAATCTCTCTTTTAATTTTTATCTTCCCAGCGAAGCTGCCAAGACAACAAAGATGGCCTTGATGTCATCTGGAGATAACATAAGGCTTTGGTTATTAGCTATATATGAAATTGTTGATTAATAACAGATAGCAAACATGTAAAAGAGATTATGCAAAAATCTTTTAGTCAGAAAAGCCCTTAAAAGAATTGCTGTCCTTATACTTTTTCCTTTCCGAAAAGGATGAAAAAAATGGTTCCACATGTGAAATCAATTAGTTGTAATACATCCTCAGCGGCAAAAAAAAAAAAAAAAAAATAATAATAAATAAAAACAGAAAAAAATAATAATAAAAGTAAAAATAAAGAATTAAAAATATAGTTGTGATAAATGAATCGGCGCAACAAATCATGAATGCACAGCCGTAAGCCGTCTTGTGTTTTAGCTTTTGCAGCTGTCGTATGGAACTTGGCATTTGGCAACAATTAAGAGGGAAAAAAAAAAATTAAGAACTTTACAAAGCATCAAAAGAAAACGACACGTTGACCAGTGCACGCGCACTGCACCCCACGTGGTCCTCAGTGATTGGCTTATCCAGCTAATTAGTATTTTCATCTCATTGAAAATTTATTTTTCTAAAAAAATTAAAAAATTGAGTTCTGTAATTACTAGATAGTGGAAAGGTTTATTCTTGAGCAACAAACATGCACTAAATTAACTCTAGAAAGCGACCCATCGCAATTCTCATCAACATCAAAGTAAATATTGCAATTTGCGTGAACATGATCATTGCTGGAAAATGCAAAATAAATAATTAATTCTTTAATAAAAACAATTAAAAAAAAGGGCTTGTATGCACAGGTGTATATTTGTAGTTAACTACTGCCTTTAATTTATTTGTAAATTACAAGTTTTACTTGTTTTATAAAGTTTCATACATTCACAAGAAATCATATTGTTGTATATAACTTCTCTTTCATTCTCATTCTCATATATATATAGAGTGTAGAGAGAGAGAGAGAGAGAGAAAAAACTACGTATATAATCCGGCAAGTAACGTCTCTAAAAGCTGAGAGTGAGAGAGAGAGAGAGAGAGAGAGAGAGAGAGAGAGAGAGAGAGAGAGAGAGAGTTTTAGAAAGAGAAAGTGCTTACAAACTGCATGCAGAAGAAGAGATGATGAAAATCTCTCAAACAAAGCAAAGCTCATCAATCATCAAGTACTTCCTAATCTTCCTCATCCTCTCCCTCCCCCTCTTCCTCTTCCTCGTCACTCTCCAGCCCGGCCCACGGCGGGCCGCCGGCGGTACAAAAACTCCGACAAAACCCGGATTCGAATCCAGCGACCTCAGAATCCGACCCGGATACCAATCCTACGAAGCCTACGTCCAACGACAACTGAACAAGACTCTCAACCCAAAACTGAGGCAGATTTGGACGACAAGAGATTGGGAACGCAAAATCAAAGTTTTCTCTCGATTCTTCTCGGAGCTGAAGAACCAGAGCCTTCTATTTGATAATTCCAAGGCGCTTTGCATCGGAGCGCGTGTGGGCCAGGAGGTGGAGGCGCTGCGGCGTACCGGCGTGGCGGACTCGGTCGGGATCGATCTGGTGCCGTGTCCGCCGTTGGTGGTCAAGGGAGACTTTCATCACCAGCCGTTCGATGACGCGACTTTCGACTTCGAGTTCTCGAACGTGTTCGACCACGCGCTTTACCCGGAGAAGTTCGTGTCGGAGATCGAACGGACGCTGAGGCTCGGCGGGGTGTGCGTGTTACACGTGGCGCTATCGCGACGGGCCGATAAGTATTCGGCGAATGATCTGTATAGCTTCGAGCCGTTGGTGAGGATGTTCGAGAAGTCCGACTTGGTTCACGTGAGGAAGATTGACGGGTTCGGTTTGGACACGGAGGTGGTTTTCCGGAAACGACAATGATGCGACTGTCGTTTTTCTTCCACGTATTTTTTTTTTCCTTTTCTTTTCAATTTTATTCATTTTTTTTTCCTTCTTGTCAATACTCATAATTTTTTTTGTAATATTTTATTTTATCAATGAATTGACAATTCACATGGATTGGCTAAGTTTCAAACTCATCTGAGCTGTCTGCATATGGAATGTATGTAATGTTTTAGACCTTATACGTATTTTTTTAATATACAAAAGGATAATAATTTCACATGGTGTTTGGTAGACAGGTTAAATGGATACTTCAAGAAGGATGTAAACTTTGGCATATTCTTGATTAAAAAAATATTTTATTATTGTGATGAAAAAAAAAAAAAAGATATAAGCACTGCGAATTATTGGGCATTACGAAAGCAAAGAAAAAAAATGGTAATCAGAGTGATTATTATATGATGAAAGGAAGAAAACAAGCAGGGAATCATTTCCAAAGGAGCCTCTTGTAGATTGTGCAAAAGGTAATCAAATAAGGAAAAGATAGCGTTTTAAGCAAAACTAACGTTAATAAAGAGGAGTAAAGGACAAGTAAAAGGAATTTGTTTGGTCTTTAACAGACAAAAGGGAAACTCTTGTATTGATTATAGCCAATGCTAATTATGTCCCGTGACTTTGGACTCAAGATTAATAAAAATGAGAATCTTGAAATACCCCGTGTATGGATAGAATTTTTAAAGTCTGTTTAGTTCATTAATTTGAGTTTTTAATTCAAATTGTGATGTAATTTTATGCGAGAATTTTTTATTGTAATAAAAAAATTAAATGTGACTATTTTTAAGAATTTTTTTACTATAATAAAACTTTATGAGAGTTTTGGACTGTAACAAAACTCGAATGAATAAAATGAGCGATGTCTTATTCTTTACACTCTATACTCTTACTTTATAACTTTTTATAGTTAAATAATTATGATAAAAAAAGTTATCTATTAAAAATAAAGAGTAAAAGTCTATACTTATTCACTCTAATAAATACTCTATTTTTTCTATAAAAAAAAGAATAAATCACCCCGAAAAAGTAAAAATAGCATCGATTGGCCTTAAGATAAAAGGAGTCTCTCAGTAAACGTTTAGTTCATAATTTAGAACTATGATTCAAAATTATTCTAGTTTTACGTATATTTTTTGTAAGAGAAAAACACTATAGAGAATTATGATTCAGAATCAGAAACGAATAAAAAAACAAACATCCACTCAATTTCCGTGCGAAAAGTTTGATTGTAGAGAAAAACTTGTAAGTTATAACCAGTTAAAAAAAAAAAGCCCTGTAGAGAAAAATGTGAAAACTTCTACAGGAGAGAGAGAGAGCGAAAAGAAGGGGGACAAAACAAAATAGAGACCTAACTCATAAGTGACTATTCAATGGGCAAGCTGTCTGGAACAAATTCATCAGGCTGACTTTCATCTTCCAGCTGTAACTGAGATGCTGTTTCTTTGGCCCTCTTGAACCTGCTTGAACTTTTAAGGATGCTATCAAAGGTCATGTTCCTCGCACTTGAAGAGCTGCCCAAAAAATAGAGAAAAAAACTTATGCCAAAAATAGAAAGTCTAAATAAAACAAAGTGAAAATGAATGAAACAAAGACGAAACTCAATTTGATTTGCGTTTTCCAACCGTTAGAACATCTACATTCTACATGAAAATAAAATGGTGTGTTAACTTACCATGATTTTATGGTGCTTCTCCCACCACTTTTCATTCTGTTTGAGGCATAAGATCCTGTTGCATGTTCTATTATTAGATTTGGTTAGGGATTGGTCTCCGTTTCTGTAGTTTCGTTTGATTTGTTTTTCAGCTAAATAATATCCTCGTTTCTTTTCAAAAAAAAAAAAATCCTGTTGCATGTTCTTTATTCAACTAATAACAATAAAAAATGTGATTTACATACAAGAATAATGGAAAATCATATAGAGCAATGTGGCCACAACGAACATGACAAACGGTGAATTTTACCTCTCTCTGGTGAGTTGAAATTTGAATTGCTCTCCCCATCTGAGTAGTCAGAGGACTGTGAGTAATCCGACGGAGTTCTGGTGCTGGTATCGGAATCATCCGTCCCTCCTTCATCTTCAGAACTCTCACCACTATCATCATCCCTGAAAATTGTTCCTGGTGTAGCTATCAACTTCTTAGTGGGTTCCAAGCTGTTCACAATCTTACCATCTCCCTTAACGGCAGCTTTTATGTTTGCTGCACGGTAGCTATGCATACCCGGTTGATGCTTGTTACTACCCACATCTTTACTAATTATGTTCCTTGAACTTTCCATGGGAGAATTTGAGACGGAAGCCAAGCCGGTGTTTTTCTCTGATTGAATGTTTGTCCCAGAAACACCGACAGCGTGTTGCATTTTGGTTTCTTTCCGAGTCGAATTTAACTTACCAGAGACATCAGTTGGCGAAGCTTTAGCCTCAGTTTTAGAAGCTTTCTGCAACTTCTCTGTAGGCTGAACTGCAGATTCATCAGGATTATCCTTTGATAAAGACTGAAGAGGGGTGGTGCTAGATTTTCCAGCTGGAGCTTTCTTTTCGATCCCTTGTTTCCTATTTGCCTTTTGTGAACTCTGAAAAGCGGATGATATTTTATCTGAATATGTGTCAGGATTTTCTATGTTCGTCTTGGATTTTGGCGTCTTAGCATCCTTATTTGCTCCAGTCTTCTTGTCGACGAGACCTCCACTAGAAGTGTCAGGCAAAGGTTTTTCAGAGCCTGCTCCAGATATTTCAATATCTTTATTAGCTCCGTCACTAGGGTCAGCTTCACCAGCATTTTCTTTGTATTTAGGGTCAATTGAGTTTGATTGTACTTTGGTAGACTTGGCTACTGCCGAATTCGATTGAGCAGGTTGGGTAGGGACAAGTTCCTTTTCAACTCCGCGACTCTCGGATTCCATTTTTTCTTCATTTAAACGGTCTTCTACAGCCCTTTTTTTCAACTTGCCTTTATCCTTTGACTTAGACGAACCAACCACCAGAGTTTTATCAACTGGTGCAGGTGAAATTTGGTGAACTACACTTCCAGCTTCCGACTGTAAAACAGGGGGGTTCTTTACTGATGACTTTGGTTTCCTTTTAGGTTTCTTTCCGACTTGCTCTTCCACATTTTCTGCTTGATATCCGCTGGTTTGCTGCACGGTGTTCACCTCAGTTCCAGTGACGTCACCATTTTCCTTTGCAAGAAAAGTACTTTCTGCATTCGATCTCAATTCTTCTTTCCTGTTTGTCTGAGACAAATTAGTTTCTTCATTCCTAGCCTTATCACCGAGTGGTTCAAAAGGTTTAACAGAAATGTTAGTCTCAGACCCTTCAACGTCTTCCCTCCCTAATGAAGTCACAACTTTTGCAATCAAATCCTTGGTTTTTTTAGACCCTTTTCTCTTTTTACGAGAGTTCATTGGTTCTACAGTCCCATTTTCATCCAACAAATCAGCGGCGGCATTTACATCTTTTGTTTCTACCTCTGTTTCTTCCTGCCTACGTGAATCACGCTTTTTCGGCTGCATTTTGAGAGAATTTTCTCTATTTGTCAATGTTCCTTGCTCTTCTGCTATTTCAGCCTGACCACTTCTAACTTTCTCTTGCCCGGAGACCCCAATGTTCAGGGATAAATTATCATGCTTTTTCGACTGCGTTTTGAGAGTCTCCTTTCTCTTTGACAAGGCTCCCTGCTCTTCGGCTCTTTCAGCCTGGTCACTTACAATATTCTCTTGCCCAGAGACCCCAACTTCTATTGGTCGATTGTCATTCTCTTTCGACCATGGTTTTTGCGAACCCTTATTCTTTGAAAATGCTCCTTGCTCTTCTGCTCTTTCAGCCTGATAGCTTATAATATTCTCTTGCCCAGAGACCTCAATGTCCATCGGTAGATTGTCATCCTTTCTCTTTGACAAGCCTCCCTGCTCTTCAGCTCTTTCAGCCTGGTCACTTACAGTATTCTCTTGCCTAGAGACCCCAACTTCTATGTCATTCCTTTTTGACCGTGTTTTTTGCAAACCCTTATTCTTTGAAAATGCCCCTTGCTCTTCTGCTCTTACAGCCTGATCACTTATAATATTCTCTTGCCCAGAGACCCCAGTGCCCATTGGTAGATTGTCATCCTTTTTCAACTGCGTTTTGCGGGAACGCTTGTTCTTTGTCAATACTTCTTGCACTTCTGTTCTTTCAGCCTGATCACTTCTAATATTCTCCTGCCCAGAGACCCCAATGTCCAACGGTAGATCGCCATGCCTTTTCGACTGCGTTTTGCGAGAACCCTTTTTCTTTGACAAGGCTCCTTGCTCTTTTGCTCTTTCAGCCTGACCACTTCCAATATTCTCTTGCCCAGAAACCCCAATGTCCGTTGCTAGATCATAATGCTTTTTTGACCGTATCTCAAGAGAATCCTTTTTCTTTGACAATGCTCCTTCCTCTTCTGCTCTTTCAGCCTGATTGTTTACAATATTCTCTTGCCCAGAAACCCCAATGTCAATTGGTAGATCAACATGCTTTTCCATAACAAGAGGAGGATTACTTTCCATTTCAACAGGATAGTGATCCTTTGAGTTTCCCATCTTGGTTGCTAGAGATGTTGCGTCCTCTTCATGTGCATCAGCTTCATGTACTATATGTGAAACATAAAATTAATTACCAGATGTTATACATTAAAACTGTTAAACTTCTTAAGAAAATAAAGCAAACAGTGACAACAATGATATTGTTCCTCATATCAATATACCACACAGGGCTCACCTTCTGCTGAGGGCACATGTTCTCCAGTTTCTTGAATTGTATCAGAATGTTTTATTCCATTTTCACCTTGTCCAGTAAAAGATTTTGTATTAGGTTCTCCACCTGAACCTTTCTGATCAATACCAGTGGTGATCATATAACTCTCTTCCAAAAAGTCTCTCCCAGCAGATGGATCTACAGCAGCTACTTGACCAAGTCTACTTTTTGATTTCTTTCTCCTTTTCTTCATTTCAATGCTTGAGTTGTTCATCACTGGATGGTCATCATTCACAGGTATAAAAGGTAAATCATCTAAGGCAGCATTTTTACTTTTCTCCTCGTCCCCTAAAGCATGTTGAGATATAATTTCTCGCTTGGAGATATCCTTGACAGTATCAATATTGTCTCCTTGTAAATGTTCATTCCTAACTTCATCATCAAACTTCCGTTTTCTCTTTGCAGCATGATCAGATTGCGAAGCTTCTTCCCCTGACTTGTCACACTTCCCAAGAATCCCATGATTAGATACGTCACTTTTGCGCTCGACATGTTTCTGTGGGGAAGTTGCGTTGTTTGGATCACTCGTCCCTTGATCGGGGGAACCATCGAGTGATAGATCAACCCCATTGGCTGAAGCATTACAGAGGAGGCCATAGCAAGTCAATAGGTTGTGAGAATCAGGATTGTGGACAAGCCGTTTTTCATCACGCTTCTCTTCTACAATAGAAGCATCAACACTAAGAAACCAGTTCTTGCTGGCCCCGTCAAACGCATCTTTTACAAACATAGAATCCGACAAGTGATATAGGTGTCCTTTACGCTTTACCTGACGGGCACACAAAATAACATTGAGCAAAGGTGTTGTTAAACTGGGAAGATAATAAACTGTAGCGCTCTTTTACGTTGAGAAACTTACCTTTAGAGCATGAACTACTATATTCCCAATGTTAGTGAAGCACAATGTGTGTTCTTTCTCTATTTTCCCTGCTCATCAGCAACAAAATAACATGTCATTAATAATTTCCACATAGTAAAACAGAAGATTATCACATTTTGGAGCCATCTAGGACTTCGAAAATTATTTTACATGTAAAAAAGTAAACAGAGAAAAAAAAAAAAAACATATAAATAGCCACTTAACAGTGACTACGATTAAATAGACGCGAAATCATAATGCTAGTTTTATATTGGCCAGAATCAATTTTCCACAAACAACTGAAGACTTAATCCTTTTTTCCTAATTGTAAAAACTGCACACTTGATTTTCTACATAATCGAATTGCAAGAAATTCTCAGAACTATAAATTCAGACAACATCACCATTTAAGGCATGTAAAGTTTAATATTTAACAATCATCATCACAACACCGAAAACGAAACTAGCCGAGACAAAAAAAAAAAACCAAAATTTTCATTCCAAAAAGCCTCATCAGCCATGCGTAACAAGAAATAGCTACTCATTGACATCAAGATCGGTTTAACTCCATTCAGAGCCGAAAAATTAAGGGGAAAAAAAAGTATAACTTTGAACTTCCCAAACAAGAGCCAAACAGAGAACACTCGCTCGAAGTTTACAAAAGCAAGTTTGAAGGGGGGAAAAGGGGGAAAAAGTTAGTACTTTTGAAATCGGAAACACTGTAGGAGTCGGCGAGGACCATCGCGAGGTGAGTGTTGAGGCTGGTGTCGATGAACACTGTGCGGTTCGCCGTCGCCGCCTCAGAATCGGAGGCGGCGCTGAGTTTGTTGGCCATTGATGCTGGGCTGAGAACTCCCCCAGAGAGATTAGAGAGAGAAGAGAGAGGGAGAGGGGTTTTTGAGTTTGTACGTAGTAATGGGCGTAGGCCTCTCAGCGATTATTTTTCCTGTTTCCAGCGGGTTTTCAGTCACAGTCCTTTTATATACTACACAACTTCCAAAACAGTTGAATCCCCAAAAGGCTAAAGCTGACTTGACCAGAACCGAACCGAGCCGACATTGATTGAGTTTGATGTTGTTCGTCTTTTGGGTCCTGGCCCGCTCCATCTTTTTGGGCTTAATCTAGCCCATTTTTGTCCGCTGTTTGGACCAGAAGCATTCAAGTCGAATTCTTTAATTAAAAAAATAAAAATAAAAAAAAGGAAAAAAGAGGAGGTATAAAGGGTTGAAGAGGGGTTGAATACTACTAATGCCTTTTAGCATTGTTCTTCAGACTTTGCTATACGTTAAGTACAAAGTTATTAATAGTTGAGGACTTTCTCTTATAAGCCTCACTACCGGTAATACCAATTTTTAACCGTTTGATTAAGTGAAAATTACATCAAACTACAAAAGTAAGTAAAATACAAATCTAAAAGGGTATTGGTTGCATATACTTGCAACGGCACAAATATACAACGAAATTGCCAAATATACAACGAAATTGCGGCAACATTGACGTGTGGTCGATTGACAAGTGTAGTTGCGGATTTTGCTGCACACTAAGACCTCGTTCACTTTGCGGATTTGAGTTTTCAATTCGAACTGAGATGTGACATTTTCTGAGAGCTTTTCACTATAGTAGAAAAGTTTGATGTGACATTTTCTAAAAACTTTTTACTGTAAAAATTTAAAACTGAAAACTCGAATCGGTGAAATGAATGAAGCCTAAATCACTAACCATGAAATTGGGGCTTTGAGTTCAAATCTCCAATCCAAGTTAAATGTTGAAAAAAAAAAAAAAAGAAAAAAGATGACAAATTGCAGCAGGTAAAGAGTGTGTTGTGTTAGAATTGCAGTGGAACTGAGCCTCGAGGGTGTAAAATTTTAGTTTTATAAACATAACCCATAAAAATTTCTCGTGTCATTTTTCTTTCATTGTTTAGTTCTGTCTTTTGCCCGATTGTCTACTGCAGAAATTAACGTCAAAAGGAAATAAACCAAAAGATGCATTTATCAGCATTACAATCAGCGTCCTGAAAACCCACAAAAGAAACAGCCTTCCGTAACCAACCTTTGAAAGAAAACATTATAACTATCCTTACGCTTGATGCTCAAATCTGCCAACTAGGTAATCAGAGCTTAAGTGAATACTTTCTACTCCTTTTTCCGGGAGTTCTTGAGCTGTCCCCTCTTTCGGATTCCGAGGGAAAACTGCAGACGCAATGCATCGACAATGGATTCTGGCAATGCATATAACAAACTCCAAAGAATAGAATGGGGCCAGTAAGGCGTGCAACGAGGTTCATAGCCTATCCAGCGCAGACCTGCTCGTGCATAGCCGTCCGTTGACGGAACAAAGAAGGAAGATCGCTTAATTGATGCCATCTTTGTCGCCACGTATAATGGAACCTGCAAAAGGAACTCTTCAGTTGGGATGTCACATCTAGTGGCAAACTTTCAGTGCTTTTAGTATGCACCAAACTACAGGAAAATAACATGCAAAACTATGTTATAAATGGCGAGGTATATAAAACAAAACAATTTCGATACAAATCTGTCAAACCTCCGAAGCTCCTTTCCTTGTCAAAGGCATTGAACTCTAAATCAATAAAGGATAAAAGGTATGAGTAGTGTCCAACACCACAATTCATAGTCTATAGGTCCACTATAGAATCCGTGTTGGACCCACCCTATTTGAATTGTGCTATCAGGCACCACCAACAACCATCAAGACTTCAATTCTAATTCACAATCAGAAACTCGGACAGTGTTGGTTCATAGGAAATCAACAAGTCAGACAGAAAGTCATGACAAGCTCATCCCAATAATGATTTATCATTGTCGGTTATTGCAAAATATTTTACAAGTAATCTCGTTTTAGCTAAATGTTATTGACGTGTAGTGTACTATTCGATCTGCAATAACTTGTTTGACATCCTGACCTTTTTAAAAACTTTTAAAATTCCATGTTGAGACATGATCAATATTCCAATGAGGAAACCAGGCTCTGATATCAAGTGTTTTAGAAATTAGATCCATATAAATACGTTAGGCTTTAAAAAAATATATACATATATACATTCTAACGAGAAAATCAGACCCTGATATGATTGTACAATGAGACATGATTTCCTCATTTTTGAATTGTTCAAGGCTTAGCTAGGTTAATTGCCACCCAATATCAAGCTTCTATTTTGTTTTCACGAAAAAAAAAAGGAAAAGAAAACAGAAAACAAAACAAAAGGCTTTCTTTTCATAATTCCTTTGGCAACAACCAGGATTCAGAACCTATATGCAAAATTCTATGATGTTGGATGTCTATTTTTTCTAATTCATGTGAAAACCTAACGAAGGAAACTCGTGTTTCGAAAACCTGAAATCAACCTATAATCTCAGGAAAAAAAAAAATCCCCATAACTAAAGAAAAGAAAAGTTCAAATCTTGCAGAATCCTATTGAAATGATATGATCTAGAGAGCAAAAATAATACCTGACACTGCACATCTATGCCACTTTTCTTGTATTCAACGTAGAGACATCTCGAGAACTGATCAACATATCTGAATCAAAGTTGACGAAAATATGGATATCAGAAAAAAAAAAAAAAAAAAAAAAAAAAGAGTGAGTAATAAAAAAAAAGAGGGAGAAAAGAAAATCCTTACGCTTTAGTGGCGGCATAAACAGCATAAAGAGGATCAGAAGGAATGACAATGGCGGCACCGGAGCCGATATTGACAATGGCCCCACGCTTCCTCTGAAGCATTCCGGGAAGAACAGCCTGAGTGACCTTGGTAGTGCCTTCGACATTAATCTTAATCAAGTTCTTCAGAAGCTCCTCGTCCACTTCATGGAAGAATCTCGCGTACGGGTACGAAATCCCAACGTTGTTGATCAAAACCCCAACATCCAACCCTTCAATCGCCTCCCGAATCCTCCCGATCCCCTCGTCGAGGTCGCCGCTGAAATCGACAACAACGGTCTTCGTGATTATCTTCGTCTTGTTACCGAATTTGGCCTCAATCTCGTCGGAAACGCCCTTGAGCTTGTCCGGGTTTCGACCCACGAGGACCAAGTTAAGCCCCTTGCGAGCGAGCTGAAAAGCGAAGCCCTTGCCGATGCCGTCGGTGGGTCCGGTGACGAGAGCCCAGGAGCCGTACTTCTTGAGGTTCTTGGGAGGTCTGAGGAAATTGACGTAGACCCATCTGAGGATAGCCAGGGAGAGTTTGAGGATGGATAAGGAACCGAAGAAGAATAGGAGAAGGACCCAGAAAGGCTGGGATTTCAGACTCTCCACGAAACTAAGCTCCATGGAAATGGGTTTTTTGGATCTGGGGTGAAAAGGAAATGGGGATAATTGAATGAGAAGAGGAGGGCGGAGTTATCGAGAAGAGTAGAAGGGCATGAGTTAGTGAGGACTGAGGAGGGAGTGATGGGTGGGGTCGGGATTTATAAGGGAGTGTGTGTGGAAAGAAGGAGAAGAAGAAGAGGGTGGGTGAAGTAGATGAGCGGAAAACCACCGCAATTAACTAACAACGACGCGGATGAATGAATGAACGAGCATATGGAATGATGACTACTACTGCTTTGCTTAATCAAGATTTAAAAAAAATATATATATAAATTAAATTAAATCCGTCGCCTCTGCCAACGGTGCAGCAGGGCTCTCTTTTTCTCCATTCTACTTGGTTTAAGATTATTTTAAGGAATACAAAACTATGATTCGTTTGTTAACGTTTTTAAAATAATTTTATTTTTGATACAAAGATAAAAAGAGATTATTTTGAGAATTAATTTTGAAATTTTGTTTGTTTAATTTTTTAAGAGATTATTTTGAGTATAATAAAAAAATAAAATTATATTTAATTATAATTATTAATTAACATATTATAATATTATTAATAAGTACTATAAAATGAAAATAAAAAAGAGAAAACAACTTTCAATCGTTTTTTAATTCCTTCACAAAAATCATTCTCACTGTTTTTTGTTTTCGTTTTCAAAACATTTACTAAACAAATACGGTTTGCAGATCGTTTTCATTTTCGTGCCTCAAAAAAAGTGCAAAAATGTTTTCAAAAACAAGCAAAAATCAATTCTAAACGCACCCTACAGTTTTTATATTTTTAAAGAACAGAAAAATTAAGATCATCTCTAATACAAGCATTAATGTCAATTATATATGTAGTATTAAAAAGTGTGATATAGTATGTTATTTTCATTTTTACTTTAATGCATAATGCTATTTGAAATATTAAATTTCTTTTTCCTATAATCATTAAGTTTTGAAAGTTGTAAAAGTAAATTTTTATTTTTAAAATAATTAAAAAATGTAAAACTTGTAATGATTATATGAAAAAGTAAATATTTTAACCAATAACAATAAAATATTAAATTTCTTATATGTTATATTTAGTGAAAACTTTACCACAAAGTATAGCACGTAAAAAATTTAGTACAACATATAACATTATATTAGAGAGTGTTTTTCACTCAAATTTTAAATTTATAATTGACACATTAATTATAGCATTGTATTAGACATGTTCAAGGAGTTTTCTTAGTAGGTTCAGAAACAATATAATGTTGATAATTATTTACTTTCAACCATCAATTCATCTTTTGATTCTTTTTTTAAATCTACTAGAGAAAAGTTCTTTACAAATGGCATTGGAACTTTTCTACTTTTATTTCATTAGGAGTTTCTCTTGTAGGGTTAAAAAAAATAAATTAGCAGTAGCTTTCCACTTTTAAACTATCCAAAAGAAAAAAAATTGTATGTTCACCATATTTTTTAAATGTGATAATTTTAATTAGATTTAACGATCAGAAATCAAAGTCCTACCGATAAAAAAGCTCATCGGAAAAACTCCCTCATTTATTTTGATTTTTGGCTTTTGTTTACATATTAAATTATTTTGAATTATGATTATGTTACAAAATTAGTCCCTCCATTAGATTTTCTTTTGATTCTTGGAAGAAAAGTGCTCATGTGACCATTTAGAAGGGTAAACCGTAAAATGCTAAAAGAAAAGTGAAATGCGGAGGAAAAGTTAAATGGAATTATCGTATCAGTACCTTATACTTTTTTTATGGATACTTTTTTCGATTATTACAAAAGTATATTTTTATTTGAATAATATTAAAGGAGATTATTTAGTACGACTAGTGTATTATTAGGTTATATTTTTTAATATTAAATCTGCGTATTCTTTAATTTTTATGTAAATTTAACAAACGTAAAACTTGATCTACCGTATGTTGGCATATCAGAAAATATCCATAATATTAAAATGTAACCTTATATAGTTTAAGGAAAAAAAGGCACTAAGTCCTAAAGTGGTAAAATAATTTTGCTATCCTTTTAGAAAAAGGGACATTTTTTGGTAAGCCAACATATTGGTAGGTCAGGTTTTTCGTCCGTCAGATCTGTATAAAATCATGTAAAAGTCAAAAAGTACGCAGATCTAACGGTTAGAAAAACATGACTTATTGGTACGCCAGACGTATCAGAAAATCTTCCTTAAAAAAAATATACATTTTCTGTTATAAAATAGTTTTTACGGTGGGGCATTCCATTATCATTAATTCATGGGCCATTAATCACAACTATATGATTTAGATCAAAAGGCACACTTGAACAACATGTTAAAATTACGATCAAATACTTCATAAATAGGGTACCCGATGTTGGAAAATTAATGGCATCGAGTGCGCAGCGGAATTTAAAAATTTTAATCAACGTCAAAGCCAAACAAGAACATGTTCATGATGCTATATAACATAAATACTAAAGATCTAAAACATACCTTTTGAGATTTCAGG